CTCAAAAATCGATTCCAGAGCCAAGTATATTCAAATCGTCTGACAATTTCAGACCATGTTGAGACTGCCTTGAAGACACTCATTCCACATCATTTACATGTATCGATAGCCTGCTTTTTCCTCTTGTGCGAGTATACGTGAAGTGCACGTATATATAACGTGTATGTATAGCAATCAATCATATTCCATAATCTACTTATTTAATAAATAAATAATAAGGGTGTGGGTGTGGGTGGGTGTGGGTTGGATGTGGGGTGTGGGTGGGTGTGAGTGTGGGGTGTGGGTGGGTGTGGGTGTGGGGTGTGGGTGGGGTGTAGGTGTGGCTGTGGGTGTGTGGATGTGGGTGGGTGTGGGTGTGGGTGTAAGTGGGTGTGGTTGTGGGTGGGTGTGGGTGTTGGGTGTGGGTGTGGGTGTGCGTTGTGGGTGTGGATGTGGGTACGTTTGGTGGTTTATGAAAGATTCACACCCATACCTCACACCCACACCCCATACCCACACCCACCCCACACCCACACCCTCATGAAAACGTACCACCTATCAATTTGGACGAATATAAATAATATCAAAATACATTTCTTCTTCTCCTCTCGATCAAACTGCCTTTAACAAGTTTCGTCATTATTAGCGGCGTAACCAGCCCACTAGCGACTCGCTAGACTTTGGGGGCAAACCAATCAGATTTCAAGAATTTCTTTCGTTCCCAAAAATCTGATTGGCTTGCCCCCACATTCTAGCGAGGCGCTAGTGGACTGGTTACGCTACTAGTCATTATCTATAAAGCTGTAAAAGATTTCACTTATATCAATCATTTCTTTCACTCCAATTATTCTATCAAAACTTAGATTTCAAACATTGAATATTTAATGAGAAACATAGTGACTTGAGATAATATATTTTTTTTAACGTAGATTGAAATTTTAAACTTACCTGAGTCCCTTAAGCAAGGACGAAACCGGCCGTAAGAAGCTTGAAATTTCTGTTTTTCTTTTAAACTCACCCTCACATCACTCTCAAGCGCCGTTTTTGTTATAATTTGCACCAATGAGTATTATCTCAATATAATATTTTCACAAAAATTTCATCATATAATCAAAAAGAAATCAACCGGTTACTCATTGAAATAAAAATTAAATCTTACAAAATATTGATGAAATACTAATGCTTCAAGGTTTTGTGACACCTGTGAATCATCATGAAAACGTGTCAAAATGATGTTTATTTTTTTTTTCTTTTTACTTGAGTTCTACTTGTACTTGCTTGAAAAGGAGAAGAACGAGCAAAAAAAAACCTGATCATTCATTCAGTTTTTATTCATAATGATGTGACGCAATATGATCTACTTCGAGTAGTATATATTGTGAAGCATGATTACTAATGAATGTTAAAGTATATAACAAAGGGTAAGACTCGATCGTGGTGGTGTGTCCATATATTTCATTTTTCCTTTACTTTGAATACTTCTAGAGAATGTCTAACCGTAAAATCCATATGGTACGGAATCGTCAGAAACAATTACCATTTAACAAAAGATCTCATCGTTCACAATCACGTTCCCGAAACACGACTGGTTCCAATAATAATATGTAACGATCGTGTGCAAGTGCCCGTGACTCAGGTGAGTTGTAAAGATACTTGATAATCGCACAATATCTTTCGATTTGAATAGAACGAAGATCATTATTGAATGTAAATGACCAGATACCACGTCGAACATCAAGTGCTTGTTCTTCTAGAAGTAGTCTAATTTCAAAAAAGAGATATTATTTTAAACTAAAGATTATTTTTAGTATCGAGTCAGCAAATGACTACTAGTGATATCTCTTCTCAAATACTACAAGATCAGATAAAATCACTTTCAGAACTAACATTATCAACAATAGAACAGTTTGAGTATGTTATTAGAAATGCACAAAATCAAGAATTTTTATAAGACAAACTTTAGAATTTCAACTGAACGAAAAACTCGTGACTGTGTTGTATGTGTTACAGATAAGTTTCTTGATCAATTTGAAGGTATCTTTGGCGACACATGTGTGCATATTGAACGAACAGTTTGTAATTCATGTGTCTACGAAAATACTAAATATGTTGTTGAAGATTCAATGATTTATTTTGGAGATGTTATATGTCCTGAACCGAATTGCAATGGAGAATTTGACTATAATGGAATTCGACAAATTCTTGTTTTCATTGGAAAAAATTCTCAATTATTCGAACAATACGATCTACATTTGATGTATCGGCAACTTGAACATATGTCTGAATTTCTTTGGTGTGCATACAATTGTGGTTCAGGTCAATTGTATGAAGCAGGATCTTCAAATCCTGCAGTTACATGTAAAAAATGCAATCGTCCTACACGTTTCAAACATCGTGTTGTTTGGCACACGGACATGTCATGTGATCAATATGATCTTTTAAGTAATCAACCATCTGAAAACGATGCTACTAACAAATGGTTAGAAATGTTTGCTAAACAATGTCCACAATGTCATTGGCATATTCAAAAATATGAAGGATGTGATCATATGACATGTCGACAATGTAAATATGAGTTTTGTTGGATATGTTTTGTTGATTATAAACTTATTGCAAGTAAAGGTGTCAGTCAACATAAAACAACGTGTAGTCATTATCAGGTAAAATATTTTTCATATAATTCGAGATCATTGATATTGATAAATCAAAAACAGTATTTTCATATATGAATTTATTTCACCCGGAAGCTTCCACTACGACTGGTACTACTTGGTCTGATCATTCATAGATACAACAATAATATATGGAAACATTAAAGTCAACATGATTTCAGGTTATCATAGAATTAATTTCTCAATTTTTATTTAATAAAAAGATTTGCTTTTTAAAAGTGTTTCAAAATAAATATTTTATTTTATTTTAACTTTCAATTTTATTTCTAATCAATACATTGAAGTCATTAATTACTGTTGGAGATCTAACTTTCAGAAATGTCTGAAAACGAATTGTTAGCGCGTTTTGACTTGAATTTATTTCTCGTGATTGTCTTATCAAATTCGTAAATTTACAAAATTATGGTTTTTCTAAATGAATCCATAATAAGGTATTAGTATTACATTTTGAAATAGTACATGTTCGCGGTAAATGGTTTATTAGCCATTAAAGAAAGTCTTCGTGCTCTCGTGAATAAGTATCATCAAGAAGAAATCATACATGTAAAAGTCGAATAGTCGTTACGACTATTCATTCGACTTTACGACTATTCAACTATTCAACTATTCTCACACCACGTCTCTCTCGATGTGGGTGCCACATAGGGTGTCACACCACGTCTAGCTCAATGTGGGTGCCGCATAGGGTGTCACACCACATCTATCTCGATGTGGGTGCCGCGAAGGGTGTCACACAACGTCTATCTCGATGGGTCAAGAAAACTGAGCTCCAAACTGCGTAAACTCTAAATTTGGAGCTCACTTTTCTTCGCAGTCCCTCTGCTATGATTCATAGCACCACCTAGAATGCTAGTAGCATCTTCTGGGATGCTAATGGCATCCTATGAAATGCCATTAGCATCGCCTGAGATGCTAGAGCCACCACCTGGAATGCTATAAGCATCGCCTGGTATGCTAGAGCCATCACCTGAAATGCTAGAGGCATTCCCTGTGATGCTAGTATCATTATCTGGTATGCTAGAGCCATCACCTGGCATGCTACAGGTTTTCCCTCGGATGCTCATAGCATTATCTGGGATGCTAGAGCCATCACCTGGCATGCTGGAGCATCGCCACGATTGCTAGAGCCATCACCTGAGATGCTGCAAGCATTGCCAGAGATGCTAATAGCATTATCTGGGATGTCGGAGGCATCATCTGGGATGCTAGAAGCATTGCCTGGGACGCTAGAAGCAGCGCCTGTGATGCTAGAGTCGTTGCATGGGATGCTAGAAGCATTGCCTGGGACGCTAGAAGCAGCGCCTGTGATGCTAGAGTCGTTGCATGGGATGCTAGAAGCATTGCCTGGGACGCTAGAAGCAGCGCCTGTGATGCTAGAGTCGTTGCATGGGATGCTAGAAGCATTGCCTGGGACGCTAGAAGCAGCGCCTGTGATGCTAGAATCGTTGCATGGGATGCTAGAAGCATCGCCTGGGATGCTACAGGCATTGCCTGGGATGCTAGAGGCATTGTCTGGAATGTTAAAGCCATCACCTGGAATGCTAAAGGCATCTCCTGGGATGCCAGAGGCATTACCTGCGACGCTAGTAGCATTTTCTGGCTTGCTAGTAGCATCCCAGGTAATGGCTCTAGCATCACAGATAATGATATTAGCATCCAGGACAATGCCTCTAGCATCCCAGCCAATGCCTGTACATGCCAGGTGATGGTTCTAGCATCCGAGGGAAAGCCTGTAGCATGCCAGGCAATGCCTCTAGCATCCCAGGCAATGCTAGTGGCATCCCAGAAAATGCCTCTAGCATGAAAGGTAATGCTACTAATATTCTAGGTGAATAGTTGAATAGTTGAAAAGTTGAATAGTTGAATAGTTGAAAAGTTGAATAGTTGAATAGTTGAATAGTTGAAAAGTTGAATAGTTGAA